ATGGGTTTGCAAAAATAATTTATTGATGTGTAACACACCCCATATTCATTGACCAGCTTATGATTAGGCTTGCGTTCGATGTGGTGCTCATTAAGTGTCGTCATAAATTTTATCATAAGCTTTCCAAATAACATGCTATCAGCTAGGGTTTATAGAGGTTACCCAGGGAGAAATTGAATTGGCCACTTGCTGTTGACAATTTTTAGAAGCTTTATTGTTGTTGCTTTTGGTGCACTCTTCAATTTCTCCATATTTTAACTTTGATACCTAAATTGGTGGAGATGTGTAGTGGGATATTGAAGTGGGACGACTTTAACTTGTTGGTTTTGATGTGGAGGGATTATTTGATGTGACAAAAGGGTATGCTTGACTATCATTATTTTTTCGCTTAGGATAAGGGTGAGGGCTAGGTTTAGCTTTGCTTGGGGTGAGGCCAAGATGTAAGGAGAGATACATGGATGCTGTCGGAAGGAGTTGAAATTAGGGTTTATCATGGGAAAAATTGAGAACTTGAAGGGAAGTTGAGAAGAGCTTTGGGAGATGATTGGAGCTTGAGTGTAGGAGAGAGATACAATTATGACCTACAGTACAAGTAAACAAAAGGATAAAAGTATTATGGTTGGTTTTTAACCACCAAGCCTCAACTAAGGTTTGACCACTAAGCCAAGAACCCACCCAAGTTAAGAGAACTTCAATTCTAATTTCACCAAAAGTTTTATTACCTTTTATTGTTCTTTTTCATACGATTTGTAAACTCTGCAATCTTTTATGGCATCTAAGCTATTCTCATGTACAATTGGCTACTTTATTGACCAATCATGCTAGCAGCTTGTGAACAGAGATGGTAGTGCTGCAGAAGCTGATTAGAATTTGATCTGTGCTAAGCTAAGAAATTGCAGCAGCTGATTAGAATTTGATCTGTGCTAAGGTAAGAAATTTGTACCTGTTTTCACTCTCAATCTTCTAATTAAATAAGGTAAGAAATTTGTACCTGTTTTCACTCTCAATCTTCTAATTAAACTGTAATGAACCCATTTTATGACTTGCAGGTGGGAGTGTTTCCTCATTAACATCTTACAGCCTTTTTTGGGCTCTTTTTTTGTACTGCTGGCAATTTTTTGGAGCACTGATATTTAACCATTGAACGCTTTTGGGTAGCATTGAAATCCTTTTTGTGATATGGACCAATAGTTAATATTTCCATGGGCATAATTTTGTCAGGTTGAACCAACCACCTAGTTTAATAATCAGATATACTTTTATCTTTCATTGCGGTTTGAGGATTATATTACTGTTAGCTGAGACTATTGCTTTATTCCCTTGTAAAGTTGATTAAGACCGAATGGAAGAGATGGGCCAAATAAACAATGTTAGCAAGGTCTATATTTTTTCTGTCTGGAAAATGTTGTCGAGGACACTTAATTAATTTCAACATATATTGAACTTATCCCTGATTTTTTTAAACTAGAGTGGTTGATCATATGAATGCATGGAATTGCAGCCAAAAACATTTTGTAGCCAATGAAATTATTAAAATATGTAAGAATTTGGGCTGCAGTTTGACTACTGTTCTCGGTCAAAGCTACTTACCTGAAACTGCAATGTTGGTGTCTATGAAAAATTGGCAGCGATGCTTAAAATTTGTGTCACTGTGGCTGTGTTGTTGGAGAAGATTATTTCTCCAAAGTTATGATTCCAACGAAACAATTATCACTCTTCAATAAAAAAAGGGATTGAGAGCCAAGCAAAAGACCTTACGGATTCTTAAAATTTGAACACCGTAAATGACAACGACCTTGCCAGGTAAATGAACAACTTTCCCGCTTAACCCCTCCAATGTCTTCGGCAAAGTTTGCAGAACTTAAAAAATTGAGAATTTTGTTGAATCCATTGATGCAGGCTGGTCATCTGCGCAGTTTAAATGTGCAACATATCTAGGGAGTAAAATCATTAGGAAAGATGCAGAGCCAGTACATCAAAATACCAAATTAAATTTTACAGGGCATTGGCCCATTGAAGCATTAGTAGACATGCAGTCACAGTTAATCTTGGAGTAAAGTGTTGGTACTTGTTAGTGCTAATAGAAACATAATCTTAGTTAATAAATTGTAATGAACGTAGTGTAACTACTTGCAATAAGCACTTCATGTGTAAATATAAGATTCCAGCTTTAAAAACAATTATACCAATCCTTATTATTTTCTTAAAAGGTTACCATTTTTCTGATTATAATGAAAATTCTCCTAGTACACCTTTATGATGGATCTGTTGGTACACAAAGGGGACTTGCACAATCACCGACTCAGTTCTTCTATTCCTAATCGCGGGCTATTTCAAAGATATCATGCTCTCTGCTTTGACATCCAGAGGCCTCCAACACACCTCTCGCGAGCAGATCTCCACCTTCGACCTCGCTAAACTTACCTTGAAAGCCCAAGCCGCAATTTTTTTTCTCTATGCTGGCTTCTCCACTCCACCGCTTGCCAAACTGAAATGCTATCTTTTGCCAACCGGCCTTGTGGCACGAAAATTTCCCCTGCATTGACGTTTCGTAGCCGGCCCCCAATCATTCACGCGGACTTGGAGCTCCCCTCACTGTCGTGCGAAGATAGCAACAAGTGGGTGTGGATTCTGCATCCTGCTAGAAAACCAACTCACCAATGCATTGGAATAAAGCAAAAAGTACCAAATAAGTCGATATAGATTCAAGCTGTGAAGTACGCATCATATGTATTTGCCGACCGACCACTCGTTAATTGGCCTCATACCGACCGACCGCCGTATGTCCAGTCGACTCCCTCTAAAGGCCGACAACTTACTTTTTCTCTTTATTGTTCATAAAACACGCACCAGTCGCATGTGTCGACGACTATCCGCAGACCGACCATCTACCGATTGGCAACATATAGACTGATCGTTGGTCGCCTCCCCTACAAAGGCCCTGATCTCCTGTCGCACGCGGAAGTTGTCGTTCTTTCTCTGTCGGGTGTAGGTCACACCGCCCAACTGTCGTCTGGCTAGTTAGCTGCCACCCGGCCGCCCGCCCCCCGCTCGGCCCACCCCCCAACAACCATACAGACA